TCAGCCATGGTGAGTCAGGTGCTCCCCCAGCTTCAGAGCCGCAGATAATACCCTACAGGCCTATCTATTCCACGGAGGACTCATTCCTAAAGCCCACTCCTGCTTTCCAGGCCCTGCTGGCATTGGACTGGCTAACTAAGCCATCTGGAGACGTTTCTGAGGGAGTGACGAGTGACCACATTCCTCTTACCCATATTTGTCACCCCACAGGACCAGTGTGGGCCACGGCTGACAGTGCAGGCCTTGGGAGAGCCTCAGTGAGAAAGACTGGGCTTTGTGAGGAGAGCTGACCCAAGAAGGCTGCATCTGGCCCCTGGGACTTAGTCTGTGGATGGAAAGTGTGGATGGGCAAGAAGACAATGGAATGATGAGTGAGTGAACAAGAAATTCAGTTCCTTTCTGAGCCAAAGTGACTCCGCTGATGAACTTTGTAACTGATGAACTTTGTCAGAATTCCTGGAGAACCCGCAGGTTTATAAAGATGGGCTAAATATAGAGTTAGTGGGTGCCTCTCCATGGTAGACACTGTCAGAGATAAGTGTTGGAAGAAGGGAGAAAGTGAAGAAAGAAAGAGGGGAGGGTGAGAGAGAGGGAGAGAAGGAGGAGAGAAGAAGAAACGGAGCAGGGAGCAGAGAAGAGTACCCTGATTTCAATGGTGTCAACTACTAGCTTCTAGGCCCGTCTGAACCCATTCACATGCCTGGACTTCTCTGGAGCAATACATTTATTGTTTACCCTGAAGCTTATGTTTTGTTTTCTTTTGCTTTTGAGACAGGGTCTCACTATGTAGCTCAGTCTGGCCTGAAACTCTCTATGACCACACTGGCCTCAAACTCGCAGAGATCTGCCTGCCTCTCTCTCCCAAGTGCCATAACTAAAGGCATAGGCCACCATTCTGGACTTTACTGGAAGGTTCTTGATCACTTACAAACAATGGGATGAAGGGGTGGTGGTGGTAATTTTGACTTTGTTTTGAAAATACAGTAGCAGATGACTGGAAGCAGAGGCAGGTAAATGGCGTTTTGGTAGTGTTTCCCACAGAAACCTATATCCCACAATACACTCTAAGGGCTGGGAAGGCCAATTAGAGCAGTAGAAGTCTTGATTTGGAGCAGAGGCCGGCTTAAACATGGTGGTGCCTTGTGGCTTGACTGGAAAGTATCATGACAGCAAAGGAGAAGTAAAGGCAAGACTTAGGAGCAGCCCAGAGGGCTCCTGGGTATCTTTGGAGCAGGATGCTGAGCCCCTAGCCAAGCTCAAGGTAAATGAGCACCTTTCTTACCAATGGCCTCTCCGAAATCAGCGTCTCTCTCTCAGCAGGATAAGGATGGTGCAAATCTCCTCTTCCGGTTACAGATTGGATATGGTCGACTACTAAAATATCCACCTACAACTTAAATCTGAAATATTCCTCTGGGTAGGAAAAGGTGAATTTTTAGACAGTTCTGTTAGTTTCCCCTTAGTTTTATCAATACTGCCTCATTTCAGTGTGAGGGGACCAGACAGCCCTTGCTTCATCCCATGAATTAATGATTCTGCAAATCAATTTAATCTAGAGCCTAATAAATTTTCCTAATGACAAATCAATGTCAAAAATAATGAAATGAGGAGTGATTCAATGTGTTTGCCCCCCAATCTCTACTCCCCCAAGCAGAGATGTATTAACTGAAGGGCAGATTTAGCATTTTCTTGTTCCACAATTTGAGACACTTTTTCCTACTTGGGCTGAATTCTCAAAGGCAGAGGATAGGCTTCTTCTACCTTTTACGATCAGAAACTAACATCTACAGTGTTATCCTTTTTGCTTCTTTTTAAACCATCAGCATCATGAGATCTAGGGACCTTTGGTGTTTCTTGCTAAAGCAGAGAGAGAGAG